ATATGCGTTTTTGCTGCCTGTTGCAGCGCTCTAGCGCTGCACGGCAAAAACGCATAAAAACCGGTAGTCATGCAACTGAATGTCCGTGCGGTTTTATAATGCGCCACCTTCATCCCAACTGACGCCTTTCTTCCTGCATGCCGGAAAGGATTAAAGCATGCAAATATGACCCAATTGTTAGGCTACAGCGTAGGGATCATTCCTGCTAATAGCGATCAGCGAATTTAGCGCAAAAACGCATGATCGCACCGGTGAGCCTGGTGGTTTCTAGCCTGGGTTTGAATATTTATGCAAATGTCAAAATTATGCGTTCTGTAACGCAACAGTAAGCAACTCAGGCAGGAACGCAACTAGCTTGTTGGTTGTTCACGCCTTTTTGCACTAAATTTGAAGCAGTCGGGTCGTTAGCCACATGAATGGTTGTTGCTTTACATTTAGAGTGTGTTTAGAGTACGAGATGGAATCATGCAAAAAAATTATGGTCTCGTGCCGGCTAGCAGAGCATCGTTGTTTTGATTTAGCATATATCATGAGTTCCATTCTCTCTGACCTATTATTTTCTAAAAGAAATAGTCCAGAAAAACTTCAAGAGCAAGCATTTGCTTCAAGGCAAAAGTTATCAGTAGCCGGTTTTCTGCTTTTTTTCCAAATTTTTTTTCCTTCAAAAAAAATCTCATTTACCGCATATTTTTTTATTGTGTTCATGTACTCTGGTGTTTTGGTCACATGACTCCAAAGCCAATCCTGTCGTGGGCAATGAGCATCTGGATTGCCGACCTGAAAATATGTTTAACCACATGCCCAGTTGCCGAAATTACCCGAATAGTCAGACTTTATTGGTACAGAAACAAAATGCAAATCTGGCTTGGCTAAGGCACTGTCTTTACTTTTAAGATATTCAAGGTTAAAACTTCCAACCGCTATTTATTCTTAAGTGATAAAGAGAAAATGATGGAGTAGAAAAAATGAAGAAGGGAAGGAAAACGAAGTAAGTTTTTTTTTCTCACGTTTTC